AGACAATGGCGTTGAAGCCAAGACTTGACATACACATCTGGTTTGAACACTTTCAATGGAGGGCCAACACACTTGATGAAAAGCAAGGCTGACATGCTTTTTACTTCTAGTGAGCTTCTAGTTGTGGTTAAAATGTTCATGTGACTGAAGCCACGCTCACACTCAGCTGTGGAGATGAGCAGTGTGTTCACAGCTTGAAGGAGGAGTTGTAGCTCTTCTGGTTCCATTTCATCAACATCTGTAAGAAAACAGCATTGGCCAAATAAAGATTATTATACATTTAGATTTGCTCCCAATGCAGGCACAAGGTTTTGAGAGACTGTTTAAAGTTAAGCTCATACTAATAATGTTCATTAACGCCCGTACGTTCTGATTTGACTCATGTGACTACAGTATGTGACTTCTCCTTTCACTATGATAAATGACATTAATGTTGAATTCTTGGCTTGTTATATAGCCTGGAGAACCCCAGACAAACGTTATCGTGCTCAGCCCAGACTGATAAAATCAAAACTAATCCCCATTGAGAAGCCAAACCCGAGTCAGCCAGTAACCATGTGCGTTGTTATCATTACGTCCAGAGATTACACATGTGGTGACAGAATGGTTGATTTATGAAAAGTAATGAGTGATTTACATGACTTTTGACTTACCTAAAATATCACTTTTTTTTCCTCTTAAATCCAAAGTCCCTCAGATGGAGCTGTCCTCGTCGTTTGGCCATGGTGCTAAAATCATAACACCGCTACTTGCACTAAGATGCCCTTTGAACGCAAATCCCCCCAAATATTGGAATAGTGGTTATATTTCTATTGTCAGAAATTCAGAATAGTAGTAATATTTCCACATTCATTGGTAAAAATGGCTGGGGATGGAAAGGGGGGATGAGCGTTTGAGAGGGGGGATGATTTTTACCATTTTTATTTCAGGGGGGATGCCATCCCCCCTTCATCCCCCCTCAACTCGAGCACAGTCTGTTAGCACCTTTGAAAGCTTAGAGGGAGACTCGCTGTAAAATGTGCCAGAATTTGTCATAAAAGTTGACTCAGACTATCACTACAGTGACCATGAGATGTGATTTCCTCTCACATGACACTTTTTTCTAATGCTGAAGTGCGTAAAGACCAAACTTTAGAGTGTACACCAATCAACCACAACATTAAAACCCACATTGAGGAGGGACTTCCGAGGAGTCCTGTGGTGTCTGGCATCAAAACGTTGGCAGTAGATCCTTTGGCTCTTGTGGGTTGCAGAGTTGAGGCCTCATTAGATCTGGCTTGTTCTGGCACATTCCATAGATGCTTCATTGGACTGAGATCTGGTGAGTTTGGAGGCTGTGTCAACAATGTTGGCTTTTTATTTTTTTGGTGTGGTGGTGGGGCACATTATCCTGTAACATCCACATGAATGCCAGGACCCAAAGTTTTCCAGCAGAACATTGCGTTGTAGCGAGATGATCAATGTCATTCACATCACCTGTCATCGGTTTCAGTGTTGTGGCTGATCAGTGGATCTGCTGAGACTTGATGTATTCTGAAGAAGTAATTCTTGTAACACCTACAGTTGGGGACAAATGTTTACATGCAAAGACCATGAATATCACGGCAGTCTTGAGTTTCTAACAGTAGCCGTGTTTGTTTAGTCAACCAAAATGTCTGATGAAGTCAGAGAGAATTCATTCATCAAAACTAATAGCACTTTTATCCAAAGCGACGTAGATCTGAGATTAGATGCAACATAAGCAAGGATCTATTCAGGAGAAAACAACCTGGATAAGTGCCATAAAACAAGTGTGATAGGACCTCGGTGCCAACAGGCAGTGCGGGAGGTAATAGGACTTTCTGGTTTTTTTGCTTTCAAGTGCAAAGGTGTTCAGTGAAGAGCTGGGTTTTTAGTCTTTTCTGAGAGGGAATCAGCAGATCGAACAGAGTTTGGTAACACATTCCACCACCGGGGAACCACAGAGGAGGAGAGTCTAGCTATCGACCTCAGGTCCTGTTGTGGTGGTCGCACCTTTTGTTGGTCGTGCATAGTGAGCAGGAGGGAGTGCAGACCTGAATGAGAGAGTTCAGGTAGGAGGGAGCTGTTTTCACTGTAGTTTTGTAGGCAAGTGCAACTGGAAGACGGTGAAGCGATCTGCTCGATGGGGTGACGTACTGTTTTGTGCTGTTTCTGGGTCAACAAAGCAGTGCAGTAATATGCTCAGTTTTTCATGAACTTTGACACTTCAGAACAGAATTGTATGCTCACTTTCAACTCAAATGATCTTAAGTATAAGTGGTTACAGCAGCTGAAAATACCTGTATCCCATAAGACAAGATGAACTCAAGCAGGGACAGTGAACTTTCTGTCAAAGCCCATTTCTAACAAACAAACAAACAACAACAAAAAAGACAAAGTTCTACATTTTTCAAAATAAAATAAAATTTTTCTGGTGAATTCAAATTATTGGTTCTCAAGAAGAGGTGGTGTTAAAATAACATTCTCGACTCATCTTAACCGAATCCAGAGAGTGTGTGTGTGTGGCTCAGTAAAAGTGATGGCCACAGTTACCCACTGTTTTGGAGGCCAATCTGCAGTTCTTTTTGTAATTTTCCAAACTGGTGTCATTAAAATATAAAAACATGGCCATTAGGAGTTTTACAATAGCCCTTTGAACACACTGGTTACATGACATTGCCTTGCAACATCCATCAGTTTTAATGGGACGCCGTTCTGCCATTGGGCCATATTCATATTAATATTTGTCATTCAGTCATACCCACCACAGTCACAGAAAGAGGCATGGAGTCATATTTATCATTTATGCAAGACTAGACAATTCACTAAGTGATGTATAACAGATAATGATGCAATAACAAACAAAAGACTACATTTTAACTCATAGCAGCTTTAAAATTGCCAGTTTATTTCTGATTTCTTATACAGGTAAACTCAAAACCGAGGACTGAAGGCCGCTGCAATCTAACAAATAATTAAGTTGCAGGTGATAAACTGCGTGACAGCTGTCTGAGGTGAAGTAAGATATACAGTAGGACCTGCTGATCCATCCTGTCTCCATGCTGGGGATAATTCAATGCAGGGAATGAACAAACTTAAAGTAAAAAACTTTTACAAACAGCTGGAAGCAACAAGAGCTGCAAGGTTGCGCAGTTGGTTGCAGCAAGAAGGTCACTGGTTCGCGTCCTGATGGGGGCACCGGGATCTTTCTGCGTGGAGTTTGCATGTTCTCCCCGTGCAGCGTGGGTTCTCTCTCCGGCTTCCTCCCACACAGTCCAAAAACATGTTGAGGTTAATTGGTGATTCTAAATTGTCTGTAGGTGTGAATGTGAGTGTGCTTGGCTGTCTGTCTCAGATAACATTTATTATTGGTGAGTGTTTTAATCTAAGCTGATTGTGTCTGGTTTTATTGCAGTAAAGTTTTATTATTATGGGCATTTCATTGTTTAGCCTAACAGATTGGAAATTGTAGAGCAAACAATGAGAAAGGTGTGTAATGATTGTGTCTTAAGCTCCCTGTGATGGTTTCAGATGAATATTGGTGCTGAAATGTGGAAAAAGCCTTCCCTCAATCACTTCACACTGCTGTTGGTGCAAGCCTGTCTGCTAATGTGCTGTGTTGAAATTGATACAGAGCAGGGTGCTCACTTCACTCATGTCCAAAAACATACTGTGGTAATGGGTGATTCTAAATAGAATGTTAGCCCAGTGATGGAGGGGAAATCTGTCCAGACTGTCACCATCCTTTTGTCTCATGTCACCTGGGACAGACTCCAGCTCCCTACGAGCCTCTACAGGATAAAGCAGTGTACAAGTGAAGGGATATTGTGATTATTTTTGACGGATATTGTGTTGCAATTTGGGTCACACTTTTAGTAGGACTGATCATTTTTGCTTACATACTCCAGTGACTGTCTTTCATAAACATTCTAGCTTTGTCAGAAATTGCAGCTCCTATAACGCTTTGTTGTTTAGTAAATGTCATTCTTCATTTATCACACCTCACTGTTGATGTGTGTTTCTCTCCTCAACTGAGCTTCTGTAACTTCTGGACAAAACAACACCGGAGCCTGATAAAATTGTCAACCAGTTTTATTGACTGCTGAACATTCATTCAATAAAAAAAAATTCCCTCCTTCAAGTTTTAAGATGTAAGATAGCTTGTGCACTCCTCGCTCCAAAGCCCATCGTAGCACTTAATGACCGGGACAGAAAATAAAAATCACAACCACTCAACGCCACCGCTGATATGAAAGAAGAGGGAACAAACAAAATCAAACGCGTGAGGGACCTGACCGTAAAGCAGGAAATAAATTAGATATGAAACCGAAGAGATCGGCTTGTTCTTGGTAGAAATGATCTGAAACACGCACAGCAAAATTAGGAAACTGGACATTCAACTGAGAACTACTGCAAGATTAATAAAACCTTAAATGATGACACATTAGGTATTAAAGGCCTCTAAAATACTTTCAGGTCAGGTGGTTTATCCCGGGCCTTTTGTCCTCCTTGTGCTTGATCCCAGGCAGCTGCTGCGTTCACAACAACGCAGCCTTAACATCAGAGTATTTTGTTACTCCACGCTGCTGCATGTAAACATCACATCCAACAAATAACTTGCCGAAAACTCAACTATTTTGAGTTCTGGAAAACATGAAATATCATCAGCTTAACGATTTGCATCCATTTCCATGAAAACGTCGACCACTGTTCGTCGACCTCGAAGAGATCTGAAATCAATTTGTGAGAAATTTATAGCAAAATTAAAATTTACAGCCAATTACTCATTTGTTGTTGCCACGAAGGGCTTCTCCAGGTAGCAGTAAGCCTGATGAGAATTTGTATAAGGAATAAAGTACAGACACTGTTTCATCATGAAGACATCTGGAGGGACGTGAGCTCTTCCCTCCCGAAATATTGCTCTGAGGTGTCGTAAAGAACGGCTCGTACAAGCAAATCTAATCTACGAGATCATATCAAAGTCCAAAGAAAAGAAATGTGAGAGACACAGATGGCTTCCAATGCAAGCTTAAGGAATGACAGCTAAGGAAATGACAGTATGTGGTGTGCTTTTCCCCCCATCTGTAAATAATCCTCACGGAGCAACAGTCAGAGATGTTGGAGGACAATCAGGAGCTTCAATTTTTAGCTTCTTCTAAGGAAAGCTCAGGTTTGGATTTATACGAAAAGTCAAGTTTAACAAAATAAACCTTAAAATTTTAATGCACTGTCTCAGAGATTTTTGATAGAAACTGACAACAGCTTCTTCTCTACTTCAGCGCATCGTCCTGGAGACATGAAGCCAGTCGCACAATGAATGATTGGCTCCCTTTAGATTCATCTCTCAGTGGTTTATTTACGATGAATCAATTATTATTCAAACTACGAGAAAATCGCTGTTCTGGTTGTCAAATCCAGGGTTTGTGTTGCTCCTTTTTCTCCTTTAATAGACCTGTGAGAGTATGTTAGACTTCAATTTAAAAACAATATTTGTTATTTTAACTCAACAGCCAACTTAAATGATTACCAAACCTGTTGCTGATTCATTTTAACAAAGTAATGGTTACATCTTTGTGGCCCGACACTGAGACTTTATGATGCAAAAAGCAACATAAAATGTGTATGACAGTTCTCTAACATCTCCGACTGCTGCTCCTGTGTTAGTTCAGCAGTCGACCCATTTTTATACCAACGTATCATTGGTCACATTACAAGAATGCAGGGTTGTTACACCCGATAAAAGAAACAACACAACTTAATTCATAAAAGAGACTGCTTCAAGTATCCCAAGTGGAATTCAATAGCCCTGAAGGTTTTGTTCCATATTTTAAAAATCCCTCAGACTCATTCTCTGCTGATAGGCTGGACTGTGTGTGTGTGCACAGCAGTGGTTCAAAGAAAACTTTAAAGTGCCAATTACAATCTTTAAATAAAAACCTTTCAGCTAGCAGACAGTGCCGACCCAAAACTATTCTCAACACACGACTTCACATTCTAAGTAATCTAAAGCTAGAGATTTTTTTTTTTTTAGGCATGACTGTGCAACGTAAGATTGTTCATGCTGACGGTTGGACAGATGGGTTTTGTGCTTTGGGTGTTTTCAGCTTGAGGCCTATAAAGCAGAGAAAGAGCGAAGGTGGACAGAATCGCTTCTGCATCCCAAACAACCCGTAACACCCTGCTTTCAGGGTCCTCTGCCATCTCCCCACACAGCTGGAGTGTGGAAACTAAAGAAACACAGTGCTGCCACATGCATCTGCACTGTTTTACTTCGATACTGAACCGTGTCCTCTGAGCTCAAGATGTATTTACAAGAAAATGAAGATGCCGGTTTGGCTGTTGAACCGCTTAAAATATGCCAAATGTGACCCAGTTCATGTAACTGGTTGATAAACTAGCAGCATTTATCTGCTGCTTAAACCACAACTATGACACGCAGACGTCCAATTAGCATGTTGACACAAGTAACTTAAACCTTCTCACTGACTGTTGCTCCGTTAGTAATGTGTTGTGGGTCTCAGGTATATTCATCACTGTGTCTTTGTGTGTAAGGCCAAATGTTGTGTTTAGACAACAGCAACCTGCAGTATAAATAGTGGAAGAACTCCAACATAAACTTGATGTGTTTAAAGGAGGTGACAGAGCACGCAAAGCAGCATTTAGACACCAAATTAAGACAAATAGGGGTTTTTGGTAAACCAAAGGAATACCAGCGTTTTATAGAGGAAACTAATCTCTTGAATTTGCATGAATATCGTGGCTCAAAGAGAGCAGACGCTGCCTGATTCTGGAATAAAATTTCAACAATTTGTGGCGAGATGCTTTTGAAGCTCTCAGTTCAGTGTTGTTTGGGTTGCAGAAGAAGACAGTCCCTTTGTTCTGCCCAGTGTAGAAGCTCTATTGTTAAGACTTTCATAAAACCGACTTCTCTGTTGCAGTAGAAGTTGTGTTAAGACTTCTTTGGACAATGTGAAGACGAGTCTGTATTGAGGACCTCGATCATCGTTCTGGTGGATGGGAAGGTCTCTGCTACAGACGGAAGACTCTGGTACCAACTCGGTAAACTGAGGAGGAAAAAGACGTGTCAGATAAGGCTCTCTGTAAAGTGGCGGAAAAAAAAAATGCTTTGTCATCCTACCTCTTGAGATTCATCCAGCTCTTTGCTGTTTTACTGAAGCTGTCGGGACTGGGCGTGGTCATGGCTTCAAAATCCACCAGCTGAAATGACACGGAACAAACAGAGATTAGAGGAGCGAAACTGAAGACGACTACTGACTATGTGCAGTAAACAAAGCTACACTTGGATAACAATGACACATAACTAAACAGACAGTTGGCATTGTGTAGCAAAAATAGGAAGCCAACTGTCTGTTGCTGCAAGTTCCTACCCATGTTGATGTTCATCATAAGTTATGTCTTTACGTTTGCCAGCAACTCAGTCATCATGTACCAGCAAAAATGCCTTTTTGGCAGCAGTTGCTCCTCCAACAGGGCAGACGCTCGTGGGCCAAATCCCGCCTCCCACAAAATTAATTTAGATTTGGCACTGCAATCAATGCCTTTTGTTTTATAGTTCCCATAAAAACCTTTCAACAGTTTTTGATAATGCGGATAACAGCGTAAACTAGGCCACACAACGCCTAATAAAAAAACAAACATCTACAAATTTGTTTAACAGGCAAAGTTTTCATAAACATTTCAAATATTTATTTTTTATGCTGATGACACACAGATGTACCTGTTTGACACATCCGCTGAGCCTGGCACGCTGAGTTCTCTTAATGACTGCATTTCTAATGTCCTAAATTCATTTTTTTTTTAAATCACTCAGCTGAACTCTGACAAAACAGAGATTCTTGTCATTGGGTCGCAGCACATGGCAAATCAGATTCTGACATTTTTTGGATCATTTCAAACCTGCTGCATCTGGTACGTAAGTTCTGAGCAGCACAGCGCAAGTCTTGTACAAGCGCATTTCTATTATCTTAGAAATATTTCATAAACACTGTATTTGAAATTTTAAATGCTTTCAGATGCTTTATTTTTTTTTATCATGCTTGGATTGCTGCTTTTTACCTGCCTGAACCAAAAGACAGACTCATACCTGAGGTCTACATTTGGTGAGTCAGACTACATAAGTAAGTGTTAACAAGGAAAGAACCTTGATTTGCACTGGACAGGGTCTTTAAAGGCAATTTTATTTGTAAGCGGACACAGTCTAATGACAAATGTAAATAGAGAAAAATACAATACTACTAATAAGACAAAAAAATACATTAGATAACTGCATCTCTATCATGTCTATGAAAATATTTTGGTGCTGCTTTAAAAAAAAACAAAAACAGTTGTTCTGTGGTTGAACTGTACTGCTGGCCTTCAGTGTCAGTCGATTCAGAGCCTACACATCCTTAAGTTTCTCTATTTTTTATATTTTCGTCAGGCTTTGAAAAATATCGAACTGAAACAAATGAAAAGGATAATCTGTTTTGAAATCTGATGATGTTCCAACAACTCCTGTCCAGACTAGAAACAATTTGTGGGTGTAATAATATATGTGGGCGTTTAAATATAATAAAGCTAAAATATGCGGGTTCCTTTGTTTCATCCAAGTCAAAAGTTTTAGTCATTCTTTAAGATCCAGGACTCAGCAGAGAGTCTTCAAGCTTCCTGGCTGAAAAAAGAATAACCTCAGCTGAACTTGTTGTTTGGACTTCAGTGTTCTGACACCTGATCAGATTTCTGTGCTGCCTTGCTGTCTCCCCACTGTGACTCAGATTCAGAAACAATATGTCTGCCTGAATGGGGACAGTGGCTGGCTTTTATGTAATTAAAAAAAAAATGTAACTAAAATAATGAAAACTACACTTCCTGCTCTGAATCAGGTGTTTTATTTAGACACAAGAACACGAGTCAGACTTTCTGATGCTGTACTGATTGTCCCTACAAAACAGTGTCAGAGGAATCGTTTTGGAAGAAGGGAGGCGAGCCCTGTCATTAAAAAAAAAATAAAAAAACAAGCAGGCCTGCCTTTTTTCATGATGAACATCTTTGTTAAAACTTGCTCTTTTCAGCGTGTCGATTGCTGCTGGGAGGTTGTTGTTGTTTCCAGTAATGAAAAGGATTTTGACAATAGTACCACACAGATAACAGAAGGGGAAAAGAATGCTGCTTGGAATGTGCGGTCTATGTCTGATGAGACTGCTCGGCTCTGAACAGGCTAACACATGTCACACCACATTTCACCGTAAGTGACATCTCTGCATTGGTACCCAGTTAGAATCTAAACTGATTTGAGGATTTTACTGTTTGTTTTTAGGTGATTAAATGGATGAGAACCTTCACACCTCACAGATCTTTTAACTTTGCATCCTCCCACAAAATCATTGAGGTCTGCTGACCAGAGGCTCTGTGTTGTCTCGAGGTCCACAAAAAAGATGAGATGAGATGAGGTTTGCAGTAGCTGCGTCTAAATTCACATGACTAACACTGAACATTTCTAAATTCCCTTTAAAAACCCAGTTTTATCTTTGACTTTTAGACCTTGCAGCCTAATAGAAAATAGAAAAACACAAGTTCTACCCCAAGTAGTTACAACAGTAAAATATAATACTATGCACTCTTTGTTGCATTGGACAGCATATACATCGCTCCTCAGTGTGTACGTAGGCATTTTATCTTCAGGGTGAACCAGTTTTGAGTCTCAGTGAATGCTGTGTTTGGAGAACATCCTTCTACGTTTCTCAGACACACCCGCTTCATACAGAATGACATTGTTGTTCCCCCAGTTTTTTCTTCTCTGTTTGATCTTGGGCTGTTTTTACCACATTTTTTCACTGACTTCATGAAGGCCCCACTTAGGACAGGAAGTGCTTTCTTAATATGTATGTGCTTCTTTACTTTTCTCTTGGTCTTGGTATGGACATTCTCAGCTGCTGTTTGGTTCTGACAGCCCTCAGATTATGTTCTAGTGGGTGGTGGGAGTCAAAGAGCAGCTCTGTGTGCGTAGCTTGCTGATAAACTTCAACACTGAGGCTCCAGTACTCCTCAATTTGCAGAGTCCAAAAAAGGTAGGTTATTTTTCTCAACCACCTCCAAAAGGAAGAACAAAAAAAAAAAAAGAAAGAAAGTTGCTGTCTGCACACAAGATTACCAGGACCTGGATGACTGAGGATCACCACACATCTCAACACTTGAACTTATTCAGCCAATATTTTTTCTATACCTTAAGCAGTGTGTTTAACTGTCAAGACAAGTAACAAAGCCATCACGTTTATTTACCTTTCCTTTAGGGATCCTCCCAATGACCTCCTTCCCACTGGCCATCAATGCCCCCATCACGACTGAGTAGGCCACCACACTGAGGAGGACAGAATCATGGAGACCCTCTTATAAACTAGTATCACAACAACAGAATCACTCAGAAAAAATTGGGACATTTAGAGTTCTAAACATGCAGATTGTCTCTGGACCAGCTGGACACTTGTTCACTAAGTATGAAACATGTTTGACATTTATGATCTAGAATCTATAGATTCTCAGGATGACATCCCCGAAATGTCTCACAATGTTGTCAAGCTGTAGCATCTTTTCCCGTAGTGTTCATCAGGTTGTTTGTATATCAGTTTCTTGATACAGTTTCAACTATTTTTACCCGGTGGGGGTATTTGAATCAAACCACAAACTTTAACAATGCACTCGCAGGCTGTTTGAAATTACCTGGATCCTCTGGAAAGAGGCATTAGGTTGCAGAAGTAATAAACCAAGGAGAGGATCAGGTTACACACTGCATCCGCATCCTGAAAGAACAAAGGATATCATAGAGTCAGCTATACAGCCATTAACTGGCCCAAAGAAAGGCTTTTTGCAAATATGACCTCCATTTTCCTGTGACCTGTCATCAGTCACAGGTTATCTTGACAGATCGAAAGCTGAGAGGGCTGCAAACATAATACCACGAACAAAGAGCCAAAACACAAGAGAAAATGTTGACATTGTTCCAGGTATCTGCTTCAGAGCAGAAAGAGGGGTTTGTCTCGCTGTTGCAACAAAAAGGGGCACTGATGGCTTATCTGGATAAATTAAGAAACAAAAACAGAGAGCAGAACAACAAGAGAAACAGAGTAACGGCTGGCTGCCAGCACAGATTTTAATTAAGACAAAATGATACTGTAATGGTTTGATAATACTTCTCTCAAGTCTATTATTCAGTGTAGTTAGACAGAAAACCATCTACAGAATCAAATGTGAGAATCCTCAAGTGAGAGGAGGAGGATGGAGGAGAAGAGAAAAGAGGAGAAGACCGGAGAGAATCGGAATTGCAAACTTATTGTCAGATGTTGAAAACTGGGAAACTGTTCTCACTGAAATGAGACAAATTATCTAACGTGTAATAACACCCTCTTTTAAAAAAATTAGTTTTTTCCTCGTCAGCATGTCCATATGGTGTTTTCTACGTGCTAGAAGACATAACTTGAGGAAGTCAAGCAGTTAATGCCATGGTTAAACATTTCTACCTTGAAACTACAGTGTACTGACGACAGTCTCCAAAACACAAATTCAGACTTCCACGGTTTCATACATAACAAACTCCTGTCATTCTGAAGGGTGGGACTTTCTTCAGAATCAGCTTCCTGTTCAAACATCAATGGCTGAATTACTCAATTATTACAACTCGCCATTGTGTAGTGTAGAGTAACTATATAGTGTTTGAGCAGAGTTATAGGTGAGCTGGTGAGCTCAAGCTGCAGCGAGTGAGGAGGGGTAGGTATAGAGAGAGGCAGAGACTTCATGTATCTACACATTCTATAGAGTGAAGGCCAATTGACACCAATGTGGACTTTGAAAGTGGAGAAAGGACACACACATGGTTCCACACTGTGATAGAGTCTATCCCAGCTGACTTAGGGGACACCCTGGGCAGGTCACCAGTCTATCACAGGGCCACACTTAGAGACAGACAACCAAGCACACTCACATTCACACCTATGGACAATTTAGAATCAGGTTTAGTGTTAAAAACAACTGAAACACAAATATGTCCCCCTATTAATCAAACTAAAAAAATACAAATAAATATGAAAAATGCTTCTCTTTTTGACAGAAGGCGATTTTCACATATCTCGTATTCTCTGATAAATGACCCATATTCCCAAAAATCTTGATTAACAGAGGTATTCAACATCAACAGAGACTTCAACTCAGAGAACATTTATATTTTTGACTGATCAACGAGTTAACTGACTGATTGTTTTAGTTCAACAACCATTTATCACATTTTATTTGCAGAGGTTTAGACAGCTCCACAGGTCAGGTTAAAACACTAAAAACAAAATCCTTGTAAAGATTTTCTTCTCAAGATAACATATATTTAAAATTGTCCAGAATGTAATGCTCCATGCCGTCTCACAAAGCATTGTAATGTACAACCTTCTATTTTCTATTATCTATAGAAGTTGTGTCATGAAAAGTCTTGCACAGATCAATCTTACCCCTAACTCGGTGGACAGCATTAATGCCTTTCCTTTGGCGGTGAGGTCTTTATAGATGGACTCTATCTCTGACTGGTACTGCTGCGTCCGCTCTTCTGTCGTCTGGGTCTCTACTGAGAATAACATGTTTCCCACCCTAAAATACAGAACATTTAAGAGGTAAACATAAAAACAAATCTTTTGGCCTTCTTCAGTAATTATAATTCAAATTCAGTGAAAACTTTCTGCACAATAAGCAGGCTGCATGAAAAAAAATGTGATTGTTTGGTGCAATCATAAGATTTAAAATGACTAACCTCATGCATACATACAACAACATTTAGGTACTTCAGTGCTCTTGGGCTACTTTTTTTACCATCTAGGAGGTCGATGTGCTTTTTTTTTTTTTCCAATCCTTAAATATTCATGTTTTTAAATTCATACATTTACTTAAAGCTTGAATGAAGTGCTGAAAAAAGCTCGCACCTGTCTCCAGTGATGGTGATGGTGAAACCGTCGTACTCTTTGCCAGTGTCCTTCATGCTCGGCACCTTGGAGTTGACCGTGAAGCCATCTCTGGTTTTACTGTTGAACTGCTTCAGGAAACAAACAGACAAACGACCATTCTGGGTTTTTACTGCTGAACAGCGATGAAATAAAAACTTTGTGCTGCTTCAAAGGGCTCTCAGGTTTCCAGACTAACTTTTCATATCGGTTGCACTGATATGGTCTAACTTTTTAAAATTAGGTGCACCCATAATTTCCACTGCATCTATTGGCACTAAATAATTAGTGGTGGGCTTCTGTGCAGTGCTATAATGAAGAGGACGCTGTGAAACACTATGATCTTTTAGAGGTGATCCCCCTTTTGTTCTCACAGTAACAAATGAAAAAGACAAACTACCATGTAGCTGCCTGCTCCAGCTCCTCTCACACATGAATGTACAAAAGAACAGAGGATGTGCATGGATTACCCCTCCCATATGAAACAATCTGCTGACCCCTACTTGACCTGACACCACACATGATTCGGTCAGACATGGTATCAGCATCAACAGTGTCTCCAACTGGCATGAAAAACGAGATGAGATAACACTATGAGACAGTAAGAAACAGGGAAAAAAGGAAAAAGCAACACTTTTGCCAGAAAGTGGGAGCACCAATAAAGTGCATAAAGGAACCAGCCAAAAAGACACATTTTAGAATTCACTAATGTCTCTAATAAGGATAACAGTAATAAAAAAAAAAAAAAGCTATACCATCAGAAAAAAAGTCACTAAAATACACAGCAATGAGCTGGTACACAAAATTCAGTCAAGCTAAACTAGAACACCAAACTGGAGTGATTGAATCCTACAGTCAAGCCACAAACTACAGAAACACCTGCGATCAACCTGAACGAGCAGCGTGCAGGAGCTCACAGTGTTCAGAGGAATCAGTCACAGGAACTTCCTCGCCACTATTTGACTGGACAAATTATATATACATTTCTGACGGGCCTATTATATTTATATCCTTCTATATCTTTATCAACCTTATTTATTAAATCCGTAGACTGACTTGTGCATCACTGCCATACACACAGAGAGACAGACCGACGAGATGTCATGTGCACCACTGCAACCAGTGAAAATGCTTCGTGTTTAAATACGTAACTAAAACTACACATCGATCACAATCTCCATCTTGAATGACAGTTTCACAACAACCAAATGTCAATTCAGCCTTTACTGTGAATAGCTACTGACCTGATTTACAACAGACACAAAGGTAAAAATGAAACATTTCTTAAATATTTTAGGCAAAATTACTGTTTTATTTCCATCTGTTAAAGTTTCAAAATAACAAAAAAAAAAAAAAGGAAAAGAGCTTGAAGTAAACACTTGGCCACCCTGCTTGGCCAGTACTGAGTAACGACCCTTTGGCAACTCTCACAGCTTGTAAACGGTTTATATGTAGCAGCTAAGAGTCTTTTAATTCTTGTTTGGGGGTGGTGACACCCAAACTTTCAACAAAAGCCTTCTACTTCTGTGAGATTCTTAGGCTCTCATGCATGTACAGACGTGACTCGATAATCCAACACTAAATGTAAAACCTTCTTTTGGGTCGTATGAAGTTCATACAGCAGATCACATACAAGCCGCATTTAATTGGAAATGTGAACACACTTGCAAAAAAATCGGATTTCACAAAAAAATCCAAATTGAGCATTCAGTCCTGTAGTCTGAACGTAGCCAATCAGTCAGATTGTTAAGTCAGATAATACGCCGTAATCCTTATTTGGGACATAAAATTTCATGTCGGAGTCGGAATCCAAGGCTGTCAGTATGTCAAGGCTATTTTTCATGGGTTCCGTTCGTTTTTCAAAAAAACCTGTCAGATAGCAAGGTTTAGGATTGTTAAGGGTCAGATTATCGAGTCACGACTGTCCTGCTCTTTTGAGGCTTATCCACAAATGTTCAGTTGTGTTAACAGAATCTTCAGCTTGCACCTCTGCAATTCTAATTCTCTTGCAGAAGCCATCTGCTCAGTTTTTTTAATGGATACTGTGATGTTTGCGTTCAGAATGTGCTTATATTTACCAGAATCCATTCTTCCCTCTAAAATGCTCCTCATGGCACTGGGTGCAACACAAGGTCAAAGCAGGATCAACCCAACTCCATGCTGAACAGCGTGAGGTGCGTTACTTTTGTTCCCCAAACATACTTTTGCTCATTACAGCCAAAAAGTTCTATTTTAACTTTAACAGTCCTTAAGTTTTGTTTCCAAAATGAATCAGGCTTGTTAAGATGTTCAAACTTCTGATGCTGAATTCTGTGCTAAGGCTGTATTAATGATTTTTTACTGATGACTTTTCCATGTCGTGGTACCAGAGACCGGTGAACCACCACTGCAGAGTCTGTTAAACCTTCCTTAAGGTCTTCTGCAGTCAAGCAGGGAATTTGCTTTGACTTTCTTGCAATCCTATAAGCAGTTCTTTAGGAAAGCTTCTTTGGTCTTTAAGACTTCAGCGTGACTTTACCATTGTTTTGAACTGCCATTTCAAGCTTTGTGCCAATCACTTTCTTCGTTGTGTTAAGCATCAGGGATCTGCAACACTTAGCCTTTTCAAACAATGACTAAACTACACATAGCCCTATAAAGCTAATTATGTCTTTGACTTTAGTAAACATCGACAGAGCTCTTTTTAAAGTGTGCTCCTTTCTATTTCTCATTCTAAGATCTTACAAAACAAAAATAATACACTAATGTTGCTTAAATATTGAAAAGAATGTTTCATCTATAACTTTATGTCTTATGAAGATCAGTTTATCTTCTAAACAGTTAACAGAACTTGGTGCCCAAACCGTTGCACTCTACTGTCTACATAAGTTCTCTTATTTCCTTCTTACCTTCATTATTGGAAGCAGATCTTCCACTTTATTCACATTTTCAAGAGCCTGGCGAACCTCCAGGAGACCTCTGGGGTTGTACGCCCTGAAACGGATAATAAGATTGTTTTATTTGCATTTGCACCACTCACTTTATCAGCACTCTCATGCTATATGAATCAAGTGTGGAGGGGGGAAAAACAATCACATAATTCTGCTTTGTGGGCAGATAGAGGCGTAGAGGAGTCGAGCATATTAACATAACTGCTGTCAGATCAATTACATGCTGGTGCTAGGAACAAATACGATCACTTTACTGGGATAATTTGTGATAGTTTAGATTTTTTTCCAAAAAAATTTTTTTCTTTTTTTATGAATGTAGAATGAAAACAAATGAAACAAGTGCATGAATGGAGCTTTGGTGTAATTTACCCATGGTACACCAGTATTCTGTCTTTGATGAAGTCGAGGATGTTGTCAAAGTAGGCCAAGTATCTGATGTTGATAATCTGTCCCCTGAAGAAACAGAAAAAGACAATTTTAAGATACTGCCTCAGCGAGCTTGTCAGAAGTGAGGCAAAAGTGAACAAAACAAAACAAAATAAAAAAACACTCATGACAAGTTATTTAAGTATTTGTGATCTTCAAAGTGGAGAAAAGTCAAAGTGAGGCTCTGTGGAAACTCAGATCACTTCATAGACTCATGAGTGTTTGTCTTCAGAGTCAAACTGTTACCTGATTAGATTGATGTGATTGTTGAAGCCTCGACTGAGACTTCTGGCAGGCATCTGGTCTAACCACAGAACTGGCTGGTCTGGATCAGCGATCCTATGAGCACAGGAAAAGCCTGTTTAGTCTTTTAACACTGTAACGCAGCAGAGACTCTTTAAAGATATGTGATTTGTCTCATTTGATCTGAAGGAGCGAGGAAAAGCTGATTTTGTTATATTTCTGTATTTAGTTGGTTTCCTTTTACACTGGTAACAAACCATGATGACTAAACCAAAGTAATCACCCGTTTAGGGATTGGAGTGATGAACTTTTCTGGTTCTCACACAGTAAAAACCACCAAAAATATAGCTGAATATTGGCTGTGATCTACACTTTATTTTGTTGTGCAAGACTGTGTTGAAACATGAGGAACTAGTGGTTATTATATGTCAACATCTGACTTCTTCTTATGCCTTTAAATCCTTGAGTTTCAGGGTTATTTCTTGAAGATAGATGCTCCTGAGCTACACCTCATTTCTCTTGGCATGAGATTTGTGGGCGCTATGTTTGTTGTTCTCCCCAAGCCAAGCCAAACTCAGGTTTGGATGGTTTACGAAATCCAGTAATTAAGATTTAGTAAATTATATCTGTCATCTCTGTATTCTGCTGATGATTACTTGCATTTTCCAAATACAATGCGGTGACTTTATCTTCTAAATAAATCTAAATTGCAAATAAAACCAATAAATCTGTGGCACACATCTAAAGCTGCCCCCATTGATGACAACATCACGCTGACACCCTCACCTGTGACACTCTGGGTAAATCAGTGATAAAGCATTTTGACACTTTCTGCATATTCCTCACCTTCTCCATTTGACAGCTATGTCAAACATGTCTCTCCACTGCATTTGCCTTGTCTTGCCGTTCACTCGCACTTTAGAGTTGCTCCACGTCCGATGCATGGCCTGCATCACCTCCAGGGTTGCCAAACCCATGGCTGGAGAAGCAACAGACAACTCATATATTTACAGCTGTTGGTAACGCCGACATGATCTTGATGAATCACAGCATTTATCAGCAGTACCTCTGTGTATTCTCCTGTTAGGTAAGAAGCCAGGAGTGTCGTATTGCATTAGCGCCCCCAGATGGTCGGCTGTGCAGATCAGCTTCTGAACTTCATTGCTGTAGCTTTCAAAGTTCTGTGGCAGAACATCTCTGGAAGGTAAAAATACAGGGAGAGAATGAACAGAAGCTTTTGTGTTCAAGTGGGGATTTTTTTTTTGTTCATACTGTGGCTATCTGTGAACATTCTAAAATGCCTTTATAAAGCAAAAGAAATGAGTTTCAGTTTGCTGCTAGAAGCATAAAAACATCTGCTTGAAGAAAACTGGAGCTTTTATGTCATGTGGAAAATACGGCAGGTGTTGACTCTCAACCACTAAACACGGTTTGCCTCAGCTTTGAGCTCATGAACACTGCTACAAACTGTGGCTCGGGAAATTAGGGCGCTGATAGATCTTGATTTTCTGAGATTTCCTAATGATGCAAACTTGAGGTGAAGTTTAGGACAATGTAAACAAACTTCAAACAGAAATGTTAATTATCCAGAACAATACTTTGATCTTTGGTTTAATCTAAGATAACAGATAAAAAAAAACTTCAAAGTTCTTTAAACTAATGATGTGTGACGTGCAGTTCTGTTGGAAAAATTGAGCAAACCTAAGCTTAAAAACGTAATATTTCATCAACATCACATTTTTACATGTCTCATTTTAAAACTTGCCTGAAGTAAACCATTTGAATGAGATTTTGCAAAATAAATAAATAAACATTCTGTGCTCCTTTGCACATCTGAAAAGCCAGGACTGACTCAGCTGTAACCAACAGTTATACGACAAAATTTCAGGGACTAGTCAGTTGAACTGCAGGCTGTGTTTACACAGAGTAGGAAGAAGACAAGTAAAGAAGGTAATTCTAATAT